AAACAACAGCAACTTGTCTGTTCCCCTTCCCCCAATTCCCCAGCACTGTTCCCATCCCCCCAATTCCCCAATAAAAATCTTTAAAAAAAAAAATAAAATAAAATAAAAAAATAAAGTAAACTATACTAAATAAATATTAATAAAAAGCAGTAATCATATCTGAAGACTGAAATGTTTAATGGCAGGTTCAAAATCTGTAAGTAGCATTAGCCATTAGGGAAATGCAAATCAAAACCACAATGAGATACCACTTCACACCCACAGAATGTAATAATCAAAAAGATAGATAATAACAAGTATTGGCAAAGATGTAGAGAAACTAAAACCCTCATATACTGTTGGTGGAAATGTAAAATGGTGCAGCCACCTTGTAAAATAGCCTGGCAGTTCCTCAAGAAGTTAAACATAAGAGTTATCATATGATCTGGCAATTGCACTCCTACGTATTGGGTTGTCAGAAAAGTCATGACATATTTTTTCTGTTTTTCATTGCAAAAATGCGTCATGACTTTTCCGACAATCCAATATATAGCCAAGAGAAATGATACCATATTCCCCTACAAAAATTTGTACATAAATGGTCACACCGGCGTTATTCATAACAACCAAAAAGTGGAAAACACTAATGTTCATCAACTGATGAAAACATAAATAAAATGTGGTATACCCATAAATATCCAATAGAATATTGTTAAGCAATAAAAGGAATGAAATATCATACATGCTATAACATGGATGAACCTTGCAAACATTATGCTAACTGAAAGAAGCCAGTTACAGAAGACCACATATTACATGATCTTATTTATATGAAACATCCAGAAAAAACAAATGCACAGAACAAAAAGTAAACTGGTGATGCTTAGAACTGAAGGTTTAGGGGGAAATGGTCACTGCCAATGGGATGGGATTTCTTTTGCGGGGGGATGAAAATATTATAAAATTGATTGTGGGACAGTTGCATAACTCTGAATATGTTATACTAAAAATTACTGAATTAAATACTTAAATGGGCAAAATATATAGCATATGAATTATATCTGAAAGTTGTTGTATTTTAAATAGTTGTACATAGGAAAGAATAACTAAACTGAACACAGAACATTTTCTTATATGAAGCTCTAGTGCTAACTGAATATAAATCTCGATCCACCCAATTTAGACGACATAGATTTGCACATAATTCAACTCCTTTATTTCAAGAGGTTAGTTAATAATGGGGCATGGTATAGTTGTTAAGAGCTCTGAACTAAGATTTAAGGGCCAGGACAGATGCAGAAGGCACTACTGGTAGTACGAAATATCTAATAAAATACTGTCTTTGCCTGCACTATCCAAAACAGCAGCCACTAGCCACATGTGATTATGTAAATTTAAATTTAACTAAATTAAAAGTTCACTTTCTCAGTCTCACTAGCCACCTTCAAGTGCTCAATACCCACAATAGTGGCTACCATATTAGACATCACAGATACAGATACAGACTATTTCTATTATCACGGAAAGTTCTATTGGATGGTGAATATACACTATCTTTTGAACCAATGAATTCAGAATATACTCTAGAGTTCTGAAACGCTGTCTTTACATAATGATGTTAAAATGTACATCCTCAGGGGATCTGTGTTTTCCAAAATTAAAATTGACTGTCCAGAATAATATAAATGCAATAAATTCCTTTAAGTGTTCCCAATGGACAAACTACATTTGTAATGTTCAAATATCAAATATTCCAGGAAATTTTTTTTCTGGAATTGCAAACATTCTTCTGCAATACTACTGTCCAAATGACAGTATTCAGACATGTACTGCGGAAATGTATTCCACCGGAACAATAACAAGAGCTTTAGATTCTATTAACTACCCAAAGTCTACAGGCTTTGACTGAGCCATTTGACCCTTTTTTGATCTCAGTGCTCCCAAAGGTAAAATACTGATTCATTTAGAAAAGTCTTAAAATACAATCTAGCACCAAAAATCTTTAACACTAGAACTAAAATTGGATAGCTACTTATCTCTCAGTCCTACAATGGATCTAACCAAATGAGGTTAATATTAAATGATGTCTAGTTGGGATCTTTGGTATATATCTAAGAGAAATATAAAAAGATGTATTTTGACAAAAAAAGGACACACAAAATGTCCTAAACTATAAACCTACAAATAGTTTATGGGTTCTGAGTCCTGATGGAGTCCTCTTCCAACCCAGATATTTTAAAACCAAGGTCAGGGTTCTAACAAAGGAATTAAAACCTAAATATGGGATTTTGGTGCTGGCATATTTTAAACAACAGGTCTTGGAAGGGGAAAGCTGCATGTAACTTGAATTTGTGGCTCTTGATCAGATAGATGCTGAATGTGTTAGAAAAGCTTTCACTTGGTGGGTGGGGATAAAAACAAGAGAAAAATCCTTTTTGAAATATAGATTATTATCCCAAATCAAGGGTTAAAACACGGCATTTTTATATGAAGGCTCAAGTTCCATGAGGGAAAAAAAATATTACTCTAACACAAGGTTTCTCAACAGTGGTGCTATCAACATTTTGGGCTGAATAATTCTTTGTTGTGGGGGGCTGTCCTCTATGTTACATAGAGGGTAAAGCAGCATCCCTGACTTTTATCCACTAAAATGCCTGTAGAAACCCAAAAAATGCCTCTAGATAATCCCAAATGTCCTATAGGAGGCAAAACTGCCCCTTGCTGAAAACCACTGATCTAAAATTTACTTTTACTACCTAATCTTCCTTTCTTCTTTCTTGTTTTCAAAATAAGTCACCAAGTATTGCGTGGAACATACTTACACAAAAATAATTACTGTTAACCTAATATTTACCTAGGCATCCTGTATTTATATTTGCTAAATATGGCAACCCTAAGTGTGACAGAAATAAAAGATTTGGAATGCCACAATCCCATGCTAGATATGTCCCTGCATACTTCTACTGTACTCATCAAAACAAGCTAACAGATCTGAAAAAGAAGATATATCAGAAATTCATTGATAGCCCATCCTACTCAAACCCCAGGATATCATACAGCCGTGCTGATCATAAACAGCTACAGTTCTATGGAGGACTTACCATTGGGGTCTTTCCTGAATAGGGTATTCATGACTGTAGCATGGAGTTTCACACTATTCCACTCTTTCACTATTAGTCCAGATGACTGAAAACGTTCCAGCACTCGATCAACTAATTCCTGTAGCCTGTAGAATTGAACAAAGAAGTACAGAAATCTTAGTAAACTCCTGAATCCCTGGTTACTAATTAAGCAACGTTTATGGAGCATCTGCTCTGGGCCAATCGCTGTACAAGGCCCTGCATAAGAAGAGGAGGAATGAAAGGCTGTGGTCCCCACCACCATGAAGCTCAACAGCTGCATGAACAAGACAAACATGGAAACAAGTAACCGCAAAGCTTGACGGTGAGTGGTAAGGGAGCAATCAACTGTATACGAGGACAAGAATGGGGCCAGGTTTTCACAGGAGCTTTAAACATGGTCTTGAAGAAACACGGAAGTTTATCATTTGGGGAATAGGGCTCAAGAAGCTAGGCTTAACAGGGCTGCCTAAAAGGAAGTGCCTTATTGGTTCCTCTAGCCACAAACCAAAAGCTACTGTGGCTGGTGTGTTTGTGCCAGGATCAAATGAGGTCTGCTACAACTCCAAAACATTTCGTCACCGGGAAGGCACATGCACTGTGAGGATCCCAGTAGCACTGGACACTGGACCAGTGTTTCGATGAGGTGGAACTACAGTACCAATAAGGACAATGACATATAAGAAAGTCCACAGGCTGCGTAACATTCCCTGCATGGGCTCTGGGTGGCTCTAAGCGCTATGAGTTCTGCAGTGGGTGAGCTCTATCTCCATGACAGTCACTCATTCTAATATTAATACCTCTACCAGAATTAATTCTCGCCCAAAAAGTTTTCATTCCGTTCAGATGTTTTGCTCAACAGCTTGAAGAATCAATTCCCCTTAACATTTTTTGTAAGGCCAGTCTAGTGATGAAAAACTCCTTTAGCTTTTGTTTGTCTGGAAATCTCCTTATCTCTCCTTCAATTCTTCACCACTTGTGCCGACAAGAGGGGTCATTACCCTAGCAAGTATGTGGTAGAGCAGATCTCAGTCCTCGGCCTCAGGAAGCATCCATCTTCTGTGACCACTCACTCATGTGACAGTGAAATTCAGCTTGTGGCTTTTACATATTGTGCCAGAACATACACCTTGAGCTGGAGAAGCTCTCACTGAAGGCTGGCACTGGCGGGGAGGTCCACATCAAATGACAGAGCAGTGCGCCTTGTGACAAGCGCAGGGAGGGACCTGCACCTTTCATCCTTTCCCTTGGCTTTTTCTGAGATTTGTGCCGCATGCTAATTGACTTCCCTGACTCAAACAAATCTTTTGTTAGTCACTAATGTACTAATGAACCATAGATTGCACATTTTTTAGATTTTACATTTTTAGATGTACTAGTAATACTCTTGTGCCAAATACCACTTCTTTTCTTGGATGCAAGTAGCCCTGAGATATTTAGAGAGTTCATGAATCTTCCATTGTTCCTCGGGCCATGGCCCTGTGGAGAGCAGTGAAAGGCTTCTCCCCAGCAGAGCTGGATGGGTCTGGTTTCTGAGAGATATGGGTCAAGTCCACGCTGTGTGGCCGAGCTGCGGGGAGCTCGCCTCCGGCAATCATTCTGGCTGCAGCAGCTGAGTGGCTCAAGACCTATCTCCAAGTGGACAACAGCCTCGGGTACCCCTACCCCCTGCCAGTTACCTCTCACCAACTTAGGGGCCAAACAGCCCTCTTCTGCAAGCACTGCATACACTGCAGCGAGAGGGAGTTCTTCTCCTCTAGAGACTGACTCGGGAGCACAAACAATTCTTTTCCCCTTTACAGTTTCCAGGCTCCAAAGTTCCAAATTAATCTCAAGATTCTAATTTCTTTATCTTAATTGTCTTTACAAAATACTGTCTATTAACCAAAGAAAATACTGTCTATTACTCATATTTATAATATGAGTAAGCAATAATTAATAATAATAAAAGAAATGCCCATGTCTCCTCTACCAAACTTCAGAAACGGAACACAGTACTGGGACCAGAGTGAGGCAAGAGAGGTAACTTGCCTTGGGCACAAAATTTCAGGGGGTGCCCCAAAGCGCAGTTAACCAAGATAAATCATGTTTTAATGCAATATTTTTTAAAATCAAAATTAATGCAAAAAATAATCTACAATGAAGAAAATATCAAAATTCTGAATGAAGAATGGGATCAGTATTACTGAGTTCTCCTGTTGCCTCGGGCACCAGTACAGCTTGGCCTGAGATGGACCATGACAACACACCAGTTCCTCAGGATGCTCCCTGCCCTGGAGACCCCAGGCACTCTGCTCCCCGCCCCCGCATCTGTTGGAGCAGCCTATGGTCCCAGCACTCCTCAACATGCGTACTTTCTGATCAGGCTTCCTCTACTTAGCAACTCCACAACTGCCACCTCAGTGCCTCCTGTTCCCTGGGCCACAGTTGCCATCCGTTTCCTCCACCTGTGCAAATCGTACCATCCTTCCAGCCCCAACTCAAATCCCACTTTTCCACGAAGCCTTCCTAACTACCCTAACACCCTACTCACCCATATCCATGAGCAGTGATTTTGTCCTCTGAAATGCTGCGCCACTTACAAGGCGTGCTCCACTTAGCATTCTCAGGGATGGACCCTTAATGTTGCACATTTGTCTGTCTTGTTCCCCCACCAGATTGCATGCTCCTTAAGAGCATGTTATATTTGTCCTAATCCGCCAGAGCACCACTATCCATGGCTTTCAGTAACTATTGGCTGTGACCCGTTAAAAAGTGAGACTTGAATGTCGGCTGAGTGGCTCATTGGTTAAGAGTTGGCTTGGGAGCGCAAGCTCTGAGCAGCAGGGCCACTAGTTCGGATCCCACATGGGCCAGTGACGCCGTGCCCTCTACAGCTAAGATGGTGAACAACAGCTCGACCTGGAGCTGGGCTGCCATGAGTCCCCGGTGACAGCGTAGGCTGAAGTGGGGTTGCAGTGGGCTGCTGTAAGCTACTGTGAGTGGCTGGCAGCCAGCGTGAGCGGCCATGAGCCGGCATGAGCGGCCATCCTATGGCCGGTGACTGATCTGCCTCAGCCGGGAAGAGCGTAATGATCACAATACTAACATGGGCCAGTGAAACGACAGCCTCCACAACTAGACTGAAGAACAAAAGGACAGCAACTTGTCTGTACCCCTTCCCTGATTCCCCAACACTGTTCCCTTCCCCAATTCCCCAATAAAATCTTAAAATAAAAAAGTGAGACTTGAATGTAAAAACAAATGAAATAAACATGGTCTTGAAGGATCATTAAAGATTTCCAGATCAAACCAGGAAAGAAAGGACCTGACTTCAAGCAGAAGAAAACAACATGTGCAATGATGCCAGGGCATGCAAGATGACAGCTTATTTGGAAAACTGCCAATTATTTAATATAACAGAGAGTGAGAGAAAAGGGACAGTGGAGATGAGCTGGATATAAGTAGTGGTTGGACCATGGGAAGCCACAGAAATTTTTGAAAATGGAATGATGTGGTCAGAGTCCCTTTTCGAAAGCTTACTCTGGGTAGAGTAGAAAATACGTTAGAAGGGGTAGAGAACTGTGTACAGAGGTCAGCTAGGCAGGACTATAAGTCACAAAAAACACAATGTGTCAGGCACTATTCTAAGCACTTTATATATGTTAGATCATTTAATCCTCACAATGAAGCGCTATCCCTATTTTGCCAGTGGGGAAACGGAGGCACAGAGAAGTTATGAAACTTGACCAAAGTCACATAACTAATAAGTGGCACATTCAAAATTAGAATCTATTTAGTCTGGCTTCAGAGTACATGCTTTAAGGACCGTGTTAGAAAAGGGAGAAAGGATGAAAATCTAAACTATGACAGGGACAATGAAAACCGAGACAAGGCAATGGATTCAAAAGAGCAATGTGAGGGGGCCAGCCAAGTGGCGCGTTGGTTAAGAGTTGGCTTGGAATGCCAGCTCTGAGCAGCAGGGCCCCGGTTTGGATCCCACATGAGGGCCAGTGACACTGCCCTCTACAGCTAAGATGGTGAACAACACCTGGACCTGGAGCTGGGCTGCCATGAGTCGCCGGCAATGGCGTAGGCTGCAGCAGGACGGCAGTGGGCTGCCGTGAGCTACCGTGAGTGGCCGTCCAATGGCCAGTGAGCGACTGCCTCACCCGGGAAGAGCGCAATGATAATACCAACATGGGCCAGTGAAGCGACAACTTCCACAACAAGACTGAAGAAAAAAAGGACAGCGACTTGTCTGTTCCCCTTCCCCAATTCCCCAACACTGTTCCCCTCCCCCAATTCCCCAATTAAATCTTTAAAAACAAAACAAAACAAGAGCAATGTGAGAGAGAAAGCCCTCAGATATGGCAGTGCTAAGGCAGAGGAAGCAGTTGAGTGTGACTCTCCAGAGACTGCCTAAATGTCCCGGTGGGTCACTTGCCAAGGTGGGGAGTTGTGAAGAAGCAATAGTTATTATGTTGAGTTGTGGTGTCAGAAGGGTTAATACTGTGTACATTTTTTAATATGTGTCACGGGATATTGAGTAGGATATGTCCAGGAGAAAGATGGAAATACAAGTCTAAAGCTCAAGAGAAAAATGTGGGCAAAAGATACGGATCTGGGAGTCATCAGTGCACAAACAGTAGTTAAAAGCATAGGACAGATGCAGTCACAGTGGGGAGGGGGGATGCAGAGCAAGCCAAGAAGAGACCAAGGACAGAGCCCTATAGGATACTCCTGTGTAAGGGGCAGAGAAGGAACTAGCAAAGACAATCGATAAGGATGAGGAATAAGAAAAGTAAGACTTCCGAAAGGCTGAAAGGAGAATTACAAGGGGGAAAACAAGGAATAATCAGCATAGTACAATGCTCTAGAAAAGTAAAGTAAGAAAAGGAACAAAAAATGCCTACTTATTTCTCAAAATCTGAACATTTCACTGGCACACTGGAGATGGAAGCCTCGTTACAGAGACCAAGGAAAAAACGGGGGAGGGGGAATTACTGCAAATAAACCCTTTTGAGAAACTTAAAAGGAAGGGGAGAACAAATGCCTTGATAATTAGAAGATGCAGAGTTGAAAGCAGGTTGGTTATGTTTGTTTTCAATGAGGAGAAAGAGTTAAA